TTTCTTTACTTCCCAAAGTTATGAAAGTAACTGCGGGCAATGCATAGATATTAATATGGTTAGTAAAAGGAAATTAGATTCCTTAATTTTTAATATAATTCGCAATCGACGTATGGCCACCGTGAAGCTGTCCAAAATTACAGATGCTCCGAAAACACACTTACGTCTCCGCAGAAAAATGTCTTCGAAATTATCGTTAAACCGTGAGGTCCCACAAAAAATTGATGCAACCTTTACCTTAAATCTACATTTACTTTGCTAATTACATATTAATAACAAAAAGTACTTTAGCTTACGCGCTGGAGATAATGAACAAAAATTACATGCATTAAGTGCAAATTAAAATCTACACATGCCTGACTCGATACCATAAAACTTGGGATTAACATGGCCAAGATAAAAATTAATTTCTCAATTCCAGCCGAGGAGGGTAATCAAACAAATATCACCAATTCTGACACACCTGTCGTCTCCGGGCTTAATTTCCTTGAAAGAAGAAAAAGAAAACAGCATCTCTCACGAAAAAATTATACCAATCCCGTCCACCTGCCAAAGGAATCATTCGAAATCTCACAAAAATCTCATCAAACCGAGATCCATTAGAAACGATCGCAATCACCGCGATTTTAGCCCGCGACGTTGCGTTTTTCGTCCGTGCCGGATATTCGACGAGGCCCCACCGTGCGTTTCCACGTGGAGGAAGGTGGAACGGGGCCCCGAGGGTTTAATAACACCGTGGGCTCCGGCATAACCGACCGAGACCGAGCTGAGTAGCCCCCCTCTTGGCATATATATAGCAATTAGGCCGTGGAACGTCTCTATCCCGGGCCGCGGCGGCCTTCCCAGCCATGATTAGAGGACATACGTACACGGTGGGGGCTCCGCGCCACGTCCACCGCAAGATTAAGGCCTCCTCCACACCGCCCCCGACCCCCTCGAGCATCAACGGGGCCCGCGTCGCTTCGAATTTCGTACCGCGACAGCCTCGTAACACCGGCTGTTTATGTGCCAGTGCTCTTTAACCGAAAAACGAAACCCGTTGAACACCTCGGACACACTCACCATCTTCTATATACACTTTTTTTCTCTCCCCCTTCTTTTTTCGTGGGTTGGAAAAGAGAAAGAGAGAGAGCGAGAGAGAGAGAGAGAGAGATAGATAAGAACGGACGAGGACGGATCGAGCAGGAGAGTTGACCGGTGCCTAGGTTCTTTTTGATGTCACCGGCCGATCGGAACGATACGAGGATTTCTCGACTCTTACCGAGGAATTATCGATCGGATTTTCGAGAAGCTGTCAGCTCCCCGGGACGGCCCGCGTTTAGAATCTTGTTGCCCATAGGGCCCCGGGGCCCACCTGTTATCTAAATTAGTCGAATTCCCGAAAACCGATTCGACGCTCGGTTGACTCTTAATGATTCTTCCAGGGGCCGGTAAAACTGACGCTAGTCGATGTCGTTTCTTCGGCAGGGGACGGCCCGGTAATTACTCCGGAACGCGAAACGAGACCCCGGGGGAATATCAAATTAACGCGTGATTGTTATCGTCGCCGACTAATTGCGGATTACCTCCGTGTCCGATTCGGTGCGCGCACCGCGATCCGATTACACGCGAAACAGAATTAAACTAGTTTTACAGGGAAGCCGGTATAGGGAAGCAAGAGAACCGGGCGTGATAACTTGATATTCCCAGCCGGACACTTATTCAGCGATAGAATTCCCAGCTAGTTTATACCTGGGAATAACTATCCGGAGAACGAGGGAAGGAATCAGCCGGATCATTAGCCGGCAATCTAGGCTACAATTTGTAGACACGTTCCACCGGTGACAGGAGGAAATCGCCGGTGTGAATAGGGTTTTAAGGCCTAGCCTCTACGCACGAGGAACGGAGGCCCCGGCGACGGCCGTGGACGAAATAAGGATGAGATTAGCGTTGCGGTCGGATGGCCAGAGGAAGATGTAAATAGGCACCGCGGCTATATCACGGGGACGAAGGCGGCCGTCCGACAAAGATGTTTGCGTCAGCCACGGAAAGAAGGATACATAAATAAAGGACAGGTGGATTTTTCTGTCCGCGGCCGAGATAATCCGTATCGACCAGAACGAATCTACCGATTCCTCGTGTTCCCACTTGACGTCCTGCCTTTGTAACCCGAGGAATTCCACTGGCCAACATGGACGCCGCTGAACGCGTTCACTCCTACTCTTTTCACCTCCTTTCGTATTTCTTTTTCATTAACCTTCCATTTCAGTATATAAATTCTTTTTAATCAGCGAGTAATATTGAACAGTATGTAATTCTTTAGATAGAAGTGACAATCCTTTGATAGAACTTTGAATAGCTTTACGATCTCCTAAACTTCAATTGTTTGGTCTCGACAGTTTTACTGTGTCTTTATAATCAGCTCTATATGCAATTCAGCAAGGCAGAGTCCTTCGATGCTTGCTCGTATTTTTTCATACTCGTCCTTTCTAACGTCAGAAGTACTTCATGCATGGTCAATAAACTTCGAAAGTTTTTATAAACATACGACAAAAGAATTCGAAAGTAACGGTACTTGTCTCAGTGAAGTGAAATTGTATTCGATGTTAATGGAAATTAGTCACGCCATCTTAATACAGTGATAAATAAAAAAGCGTTTGAAATTTGTCTATTTAAATTAAAATTTCGTTTATATTACGTGACGCGAAGAAGGAGAAAAAAGAGTGTATAAGATCCCCGGAATTGCTCGCAAAAGTTCGGCCAAGCATTATCGATAAACTTGTCGAACGGAGGAGCCACGTCTCTCGGGGCCCGTGTTCGGGAGGTCTTCGCGTGGGGCGAGGCCACCATGTTTCTTCGGGTCTTTTCGAGTCTCGCCTCGTCCTCGTCCCACCGCCGGGGTACCATTCGTTCTGTCCTCATCCGGACCACGGCGTGCGAGCACCGGCCACCTTGGGGCGCCCCCGGGTGGCGAACGGACCAACCTGTCTGCTTCGCGCCACCTCTGCTCCAATCCTCTTGCCGTACCTCTCCCTTTCTTCTTCGTCTTCTTCTTCCCTTCTGCGGAGCACCTGACATCGTCTTTCGCCATGGAAGATCCTGCGGACGCGAATATCATCGGGATGCCTTGAAAACGTCGTTGAACTACTTACTTCTACGTGCTTCGAAGTAATTTTTCTTCTGTTTCTTTTGCTGCTGGAAAGTTTGAACTTCTTTTTAACTAAGGAACACAAATTAAGTCCCTCGTATTCACCTGAATACTGTGATACGTTATCATTAGAATCTCGTGTCTGATTGATCAGATTGAGCAGTTTAAATTATGTCTTGGAGGATGAATTTCTAAAAATTTATTTTTAATTAAATCTAGAGTAGTCATGACTACTACGTAGTGTGGTAAGAAGATCAACCCCTACGTGAACTGCTAGAGACATCCACTTTTACTTTTTCCTTAACAAATGGTTATGCATTCGTGAGAACATCGTTACATGTCTAATTATCGAAGCTACGACCTTCAGAGTTCTAGTCACCTACACAAAGATTTAATAACAAGTTAGAGAAATAGTACAGCCAGGTTAGTAGGATGACACCGATCATACGACTCAATCTCAATGTCCCCCACAGAAGGCACGGCCGTTTTATTAGACAACGCCTCCAATAACGTCAAGTTACCGCGACGAGTGGAGGAGGAATACAGAAAACGCAACAGTCGGCTCGCTTTCCCACGCTACAGTGGCCGCGAGTCGCCTGCCCGCGCGTCCCGATCCGAACCTCCGTGGCAAATATAAAATTTCGTTGGAACGGTTGAATAAATATGGCAAATCGAGATTAACGATCTTCTTTAATAACGCGACTCCACTCTCTGTCACTCGGAAGTTATCGGTTATTCTCACGGCGATTCAATCAGCAGAAGGACGGACTTTTATATCGGAAAGTGTAATCATCGTATCGGGCGTGCTCGTCAGGAGTGGCCAATAAAATTCGTCGTAACTTGAGGCGGACGGTGTACAAAAATCCAGTCGATACCACTTTCCGTTGACCAGGCTCGTTTCAGGGGGCCCCATGGACACGTTGGTTACCGTCTACCGCTCTCGAAATCCCAGGAAACGAGGAACAAATTATCTCGTCAGACGGACGCACACACCGGTTTAAAGCGACGAGATCGCTCGTTCGGCCGCGACGGGTAGTGGGGTGGGGGGGTATCGGGGGCCCGTGCCCCCACCGCGCGCCCACTCCCGCCGGCATTAGTCCCGTCACGTGACCGTACGCTCTTCCATTGGGCCTGACGCCCCTCTATTCCGGCTGCCGGCCACCTTCTGGATCCCGCCGCTTGCTCCCCCCTCCCTCTTGCCCTGGTTTCCACAGTAACTAGCTGACCCAGCGCCTAGCGCCCCGCGTGTCGGCACAGGCGGCTCCTTTCTTACCTGATGAGCGCGTACGAACGCACACGCACGTCTTCGAGGGGAACGCCGTCACACCAACGACGTGCAGAAGAGGATGATGAGGGTAAGGCGGAGGGAAGGATGACGGTTAATGAGCTAGAACCACGGGGGAGCTGTTCGGGGGCCCCCGGGGCTCCTTCCACCTTTCTGGGAAGTCACGAATTGCAGGCTCGCGTCTCCCTCCCCCCGCCGCGCGCTCGCCGAGACGGGCTCTCCGTTTCTCGCGTGAAACCTGTGCCCGCTTTTATGAGCGGCCTCGACTACCGAGCGGCCCGGGACCACGGCTTTCCGGAGATGTACGAGCTGATGACGATGGCTCGTTGAAGGGGTCGAGGATCGAACCGATTAACGATAATGAATTTCAGCTCCGCTCGTTTGTACTCGCGGGAACTTGACGGGGTCCACCTTCGGGGGTTGCGGGACAGGTCGCTGCGGTTGTTGCGCAGCTGAGAGAATTCTGATGTGAATAACATATTCGCGATAAGAGGAAAAGATTGTAGTCTCTAACACCTATTAAATTTCACTCGTGTAGTCGTAATAATAAGTCGTAAAGATCATCACTTAAAAGCTATAAATTCGAAGATGGCTGGTAACAATATAGTAAGTACAAACAGCAGTCTTGCACGCGATGGAAAAAGAACACATCCAAGAATTTATGATTTTGTATAAAAACGAAGTTGTGGCCTGCAAAAACTTCTACACTTAGATCAATATAACCGCCTACTACATCACATCAGACTCTAAAAGATACATTGCTCTTCCAACAGTTCGGAAGGCAGTGTGGCACCCGAATTGTTCATTACCGAAAATACCTAGGCAGTCCACCATCATCGTCCAAAACTCTTCAACTTTCTCGTTAGCCAACGACTTTTATTCAGAGCAATCAAGGTATGTTTCTCTAAAGGAGTCCTTATTCGCGCGATTCCGAAAACTTGCCGATGCCCACGAAAGACGGAGCAAGGGTGCCGAAAGATCAAAGGGGATCCGAAGAATAATCCTGGAGATGGTCCAGTGCCTGGGACGGAACAAAAGGAGGTAGTGCCACGGTTTGACGAAGAGACGCGGATGGATGGAAAGAGAAGATGCCCCGGACCAGGGGCAGACAGAGAAAAAGAGATACTGTAAGAAAGAGAGAGCAAGAGAGAGAGTGAGAGAGAGAGATGCAAGCGCGATGGAGCAATAGTGGGGCCCACCTGACCAACAGGTACCTGGTAGGGCCCCCCATAAGGAGTCTCATCATTGACCCGGCCCACTCTCCCACCACTCGCGCCAGGCTAAAGGGTTTCAAGTCCTCCCTTTTCCTGCAGTCAGCACCCCGCGTCTTGTAGCTAGGAATGGCTCTCTACAGACCCGAGATGTTGATAATGAAACCTTTTTTTACGAGCAGCATAATTTCGTCCTCTAATTAAGTCATCCTCGTACGGTAATTTATTAGCGGCGCTCTTAATAGAATATTCGGCGCAGTCTCTCGCCGGACCTTACTACTTCGAAAACGATGATCGATATAATTTACTGCGAGGTCTAACTTACTGTTCGCTGATAACAAAGATCGAGGAATCCCGAAAATTCGTAGAATTTTCATTTCATAGCACGCCAGCCGGTGGCTATCAACATTCTTGGTTACGCTTGGACTTCTCTGTCACGCATCGAGCATCGCTGATAAAGATATCTAACTAAAATGACATTAAGATCTTACTTAGGCTTTAATTTAACTCCGCGGCCATGCTCGCGACACATGCGAGTAAAACGAGTTGGCGATAGATAATACCTAATTAATTCATTTAAATTCAGGAATGTGGTTTCTGTCTCGTACACGAATGTGAAGCTTTTTCCATTAAGAATCGATCGACAGCAATTTTTAATGAAATGAAGACTAAGCTAATATTTGACTCGGAGCTTATTAACAGCATTGGATACAGAGACAATTTCTGTGTTAAATGGCTAAATCCGATATTTATTCAATTAGAATCGTCTGTCGACTGGTTTAAGCGGGTAGCTCGAATGTTTTGCTACCAAGTGACAGATATTGGTCAGATGTCCCCGGCATCGACGTAGACGCGTGTCCCAGGGATGAAAGGGACCACCGATATGTTCCGCTGACACTATCATCGTAAGGTAGCCCGGACAACCGAGACGTGGATGGAGACTGACGTGGAAGACTGGAAGCTCGCGCAAAATGAGATCCAAGGATGGAACGGAAGGAGATACTATTCGCGTTCGTCGTAACGAGCGGCGTTGTTGCCAGCTCACTCGATACTCGGATAGAGTATGTAACACGCGTACTTTTTTGTTTACACTGAATTACACGGCTACCATGAAGCTGGGTAACCGCTTTTTGTCCTCGCCGCAACAGTGATTCAGTCAAGACGAATCGATTGGATCCGCGGATACGCCGCTGCTACGCCCCTCTTGTTGGGGTGGTTCTGATTTCCATTCTGCTGTTGAGAACTCTGATAAATCGGTTTGGTCACTGACAGAAAGATGACTTTGATCAATACGTGACCCATTTATTTGTAGATGAATCATTTGTTTTTAAATTGTTAATGTTATTTAATGGAATATGAGTCTCTTAACAGCGTTGATTGAAAGCTGTAGTTCTAGTTCTATTTTCAATCACGCGTGTAGCTTTGAACATAAAAGATTTTATTTGTAGCAGATAATAGCATAAAAATCTCAAGTGATGTACATTGTGAAATAATGCATTTTGTTAAATAGTGTTTGAGATTAAGATATTTTATTTTATGCTTTAGATTATCGAAATTATAATGTATTTTCTGTAGGAATTCCGTTTTATATTTAAATATTATTTTATGTGAAATGTGTTGAACGAGGAAATAGAATGGCTATAAATATGGAGCACTTGAAATGTTAAAAATATTTTTTCTCCTTATCCAACTGTAGATGAAATATGGAGGAAGATAATGAAAGCATCATTAGTAGAGAATGGTTCATTCCTAGTATATTTACAGTATATATTATTGCTGTTATAAGGAAATAATTGAGATTACTATATACTTGCACCTATTCTAAGATTGCATCCATAGATGTCGCAATTACACTATATCATTGTATATCTGATCCTGTATTTTCATAGAAACATCGGAATATGGATAAGCTACCAAGAAAAACTAAATTACCGTTTACTGTTCTAAAAGAAACTACATTTATACTGAATATCAGTTTCTTTAATCATTCGCCTTATGATGCATTTTGCGATCAGGTTTATAATAACTGTTAATAATTTTCCAGCAGGAAAACAGATCGTACATTTGCTGTTAGCGTATGTTTTTTAATTAAGTTTTTTACTAATCTCTTAATTAACACAACCTAAAGGATATACGTATTCATTTAGTTTAAAGTATTCACCGAGTCTCCGATTCAATATTATAATGAAGCGTCTTAAAAGTAAGATAGACTTCTATAACGTTTACACAAGCCAACATTCTCCATAAATTCTTTTTAATTCGTTTCACAATCACACAACTGATGACAAGGATAGCAAAGAAAATCGCAAAACAAAAACCAACAATATGCTCACGCATCTAAAACACTTCATAAACCATCGCCAACCAAATCTCACAAAAGAGGAGGCAACAAGGATACCAACCATCCAAGTATTCAAAGGACATCCTAAAGATCTATAATTAATTCCCCGAGAAAAAGCCGAAAACGCCCTGCACGATGGCGTTACAGATAGTATTACCTCAGCACGCGGCGCGCATGCACAAGGGTTAATTTCAAACAGCGCCGGCCAGGAAGTCACCCCCTAGTGCCCCGACCCCGCTTCCTGTTGCGGTGCTGGCATCGTAAAAAGCGGAGTAGTCCCCGACATTCAAATGAACCGTTTCCCTTAAATCCCCCATTAGGAGTCCGTGGGCTGACCCGGGTCCTCTTTGAATCTCCACCGACGGGTCTCCCGAAGAAAGCCGTCCGGGCGTCGTCGGTTATCGTAATCGGCGCGGTCCGACGTTCGGCACCGCCGCAACGAGGGCGGCGCGGATTTCGGCGGGACCAGAACCTCGCTGTGCTATGGGACGATCTTTCTGGTCCAGTAGCCCGGTGGCAAGAGAGGACGAGCTGTCGTTTCGTGCGTTGATTGGCCGGTCGTCGGGGGATAATTAAGTCCCCAGGTGGAACGGGGCGAAGCTACAGTCGCGGGAGGAGGGAGGAAGAAGCGGGTCGAACGACCGGACCCGGCAAAATCAACAAAATAATAAGCGGCCACGGGTGTTTGCTGGAGATGCGGACGTGACGCGTTCATCGCTGATGAAGAGGCCATGCCTAGGGTGATCAGACGCAACTGCAAATCGGAACGCAGGGCGAGGGGAGCGAAGAAAATACTCTGCGACAGAATAGATCTGTTTATATATTCTTTGTTGGAATAGGAGGATCTTTTTTTGTCGTGCATATGTATAGAGACGAGTGAGACAATATTTCAATATTCAAGGATTAGAATCGCGTGAAATGGTAGGTGGAGGAAAGAGTATGAATGTTTGAAAATGGGACATGGCAATGAAGACTGGCTTATAATGATAGCTCAAAAATTTTGAACATTTGACAATCGAGATGTTATGATGTTTCGACGATTCTCCTTGAGGGCGTTGGAATATTGGACCAGAAATAGAGATAAAGCCTGAAAAATAGAGACGTTTCAGTCTAGATGTATCTGAACAGGAGAATCAGTACGGGCAGCATCAGCGAACCGTGGAGAGACAGAGGACAACCGCAACGAGCCGACGGATAGTTAATGACTCTATGCGCTTCTTCGTCCCTCGGGTGATTATCGGTTGCGGAGTCAACTTCTAGGGACGACGCCCTAGGAGTACTCTGGGATTGCTGTTTTCTTCTCGCGATCGGGAAAGTGAGGATAATTAGTCATCCTTGGGTACCTTGAGGGGTTCTGGTGCGAAGGTATTGGACTCAGTCGCCTTGAAGGGATAATGATTGTAAGAAATTATAGTTTCTCGGAGAAACTTTGTTTCGCGCGACTCAGCCTTGAGTGCGGTTTAGAAAGGCGATTTTTGTGATCTTTGAATTGGTTCAGGAGACTTGGTGTTTTGTGACATGGTTCATGAAAGATGAAAATTTTAATTGTTGTATCGAATGTTATCAACCACAAAAGATTGCTTATGTTAGTAATTGTGCTAGTAACATTTACTAATTATTAAATTGATCATACGACTATTTAAAATATCAGAAGATCGATATCGATGGTATTCTATGAAAGAAGCATTATGTGACGAAAGATGTGTTAGTAAATATTCATGCAGATTTTCATGTTGATTATTACAAAGGTTTTATTAACAGAAAATTACAATCTTTATTCACTAAGTAATTTTAAATGACATTAATATGGAATAATAAGATTAGTTATTATTTTTTACTCCTATGAGTTTACTTTGAAGCAACGGAAGTAGTCGAAGTGTAATTCATTGAAACGCTAGATCACTTTAGGAACGAGGTTTTTGTACGTACGAACCTCATGTCGGACACATGTTCGAACGACCGCGCGGAAATACGAAACCGTCGGAGGCGAAAATGCGAGAAAAGGCAGGACACATTGACAGTAGGCGGTTGGGTTCCAAGGAATATGTATCGATGGGTACCTAGGCTTCCTCGTGCTTTTCGGGTTTACACGGGAGAAAACCCTTGAAGAAAGGACAATATTTGCCGAAGTGCCATGGTGAAACTTCTTGTATGCCGGAAGTCAAACTCTCAAGAAGTTACTCGTTGCCTGAGAAAATTTGCACTTCCAGAATGCAAGCGTTAGAAATAATCCTTTAAACACAGAACAGTATACTGCACACGATTAACTACTCCTCGATTTTCAATATTAAACATTACCAAGAAAACAATAATGACGTTTCTACAAGATTGAGCTATTTTTGCAAAGAAATGTAAGTTATACATACTATACAATTGTACTAACTAAATCTCTCGCGTTCGTCATATTATTAGCTCATAAAGAGCTAAATGTTTATTATTATAACCAAACATTGCTCAAAGTCTCAACAAATACTCCAAAAATTAACATCACCAATCATTGCATTCTACAACAAATATTGAAACAGAAACCGCATAAACTGGAATTCCAGCCACGACAACCCCCGTAAGCCACCCTAAAGCATAATTCTTCCACTCCAAAGATTACGGCCACGAATACACGAAAAATCATCAATTTCCTATGAATAACAAGAATAAGGGGGTAATTTCACCCGGCAAAATATTCACGCCTAGGAACAATACCCTTTCCCGCAGCAGTAAAGAATTATCTCATCAAGCTCTTCGAAAAATCGCCCACCATAGCGCCATTTAAGTCCTCCCCGTCTTATCCCCGAAAGCATCCTTCAGCGGATTCGACGGGCGTAAACACACACCGGGGCCCGCTAATCGTCCCCATCACCGGTGGACACGGGCCCGTCTATGCATCCTTGATGGATAGTTTCTCCCCCTGGAATAGTTTTATCTTTTCCCCGGTGCCGTCACCCACGCAATCCCTTCCACGGCAATCCAGCAGTCCGCCTCGTACGCCTTCGAGACCGAAAGGGTCGGGAGGAAGGAGGCCGAGGAGGGCGGAAGGTGGGAGTCAGGGACGGCTGGTGCTAGTTGAGTTGTCGAACTGACACGCGTTCACTGTCCCGCTTCAACCTTCCACGCCGTGAGTCCTCTCCTTTCGGCCTGGATCCCCACTAACTTCTTCCACCCCGGCGTGCTCTCTCACTCTCCAGGAGTTTCTTCCCACCATTCGGTCCCTGGATCCACTGGACCCCTCCGTCTCCCTCCATCATGCTCGCGGTCATTCCCTCTCGCTCCTGCGGCCGCGGAACGCGGCAGGGACGCGCTGTCTGTCACTCTCTCTCTCTCCACGGGTTCGAGTTTTCCGCCAGAGACGGTCCTCGTCGCACGCACGCCCACCCGAGAACGCACGACCGCAGCCACCACCGTTCGTCGGAGCTCGTGCTGGCGCTGCTGGTGGTGGT